AGGAACCAACACATCCCTGGGTTATCAATGCTGTTCCCAGCACAAATCCAAAATATAGCCCCATACTAGGTACTATGGAGCGAATTAACTCTCCCAGCCCAAACCAGCACAGATGGAAAGGGAAAATAAAAGGGAAACTCCACTTCTATTTTGGGAAGTGTTTAACTTCCCTTCTTTTCAAAGAACCTTGACAATAAGAAGATGAAATTATATATCTTTATGAAAAAGAGCTACTGGCTTAATGCTTGCCACCACCACCCCCTGCCCCCACTCAGATCTTGCCTCCTGCCACTGCAGTTTTGTGTACCTAAATTTCAAGTTCTCCTGACAAATGCTCTACTACTCCCCTCCGATACGCCCTCCATTAAGAAAAGACATTTCAGAATTTTCTCTTTTCCTACTCCTTCACCTTCATTAAAAGATCTGTTTGGTTTTGGTTGATTTGTAGAAACCCGTGCCGTTTAGGAAGGTCCCAGACTCTCTCAAGGTGTACACGTAAGAAAACTGTGCAAACAGAGCTCCAGATCATGGCTATTGCGAAGCAAAGGAAAAGTCATACAGCAAGTCCAAGAGAACAGAAAGGTACCAGTATGTCCTTGTATCCTGTTGATCCCGCTATGGGCAGGTGGCTGTTGTAATGGCTTTCAGCCAACTCCAAAGGACACTGGGCAATGGTGTCCAAGGGACTATCGAGACGGGAAACTTCCGAAGATGGGGATGTAAATGATGCTCTCGGGCAATGGCTCCAGGGTCTGAAAGAGCACTCTCAGCAAGAGCAGCGCGTTCCCTGGCTGTCCCCTGCTGCAGGGGTTACAGGGTGCTCAGGCACGCAGGACGCAAGACACCTAAACACCAGTTTCTCCTGCTATTCATGATACCATTTATTTTCCAAGATAACCACATGGGCCTGGACACTCAGACACAAGATCTGTCCTCTCTTGGGCCTGACAGATATGGCGCAGAGTCTATGCAGAGACCCACTCCCTTCTGGCACGGCAGCTGGAGGCTGGGTTGAAGATGCTGAAATGTCTGAAGTAACGCCAGTGTAATTGCATCTTCCCTGAGAACATCCCCCAGAGGGCATGTTAGCTGCACCTAGGGGTCTTCAGAGCTGCAGAAAACAGGTCTGGTTTTGAGCTCGGCCTTGGCATACACCTCAAAACACAGTACAGATAACTCAGCCCCAACGCCGCTGAAGAAATACATTTAAGTAGGGGTAATTTAATAGGACTGTTCCCCTAGTGCTGGCTGTTCTGTTCCTCAGCAACTCCAGGCCTCTCTCACACCATTCTGCCTCTCAAAATAGCAACTGCATGCAGACAAAAACTCTCTTATGAATGATAGCAAATCAGTTTATTTTAAAATCATGAAGATGCTAAGCTAGACAACAGAAGAAAAAAAAACCCTACGACTGTTCCTCGTAATGCAGGAAAAAAAAGAGACTTACTTCCAGCCAGTAACAGCAGCATTTGTGCCTGTTAGCAGCTCAGTCTGTAAGCACCCTACCTCTAAAATTATCTTACCCTACAGCTCCTACAATGAAAAGCAACTTCCACCTACTCTGTAAGCACCCTACCTCTAAAATTATCTTACCCCGTTGCAGCTCCTACAATGAAAAGCAACTTCCACCTACCGATGACGTTGTTCACTATTAAAAATAAAGCCAGGGAGTTTAAGAGACTTTTTTTAATGCTCTTGCCCAAGGATACAGTGCGGGTTACGCCATTTAGCCCGATACCCCTTCAGTGCCTAACAAAAGGCGCTCTGTTTAAATGGGCCCTGCTTTTGAAGAACGCCTGTTGAACAACTCAACGCAGAAGAAAAAGGAAGCAGACAAGGACAAGAGAAGACATGATAGCCAACATGATTTCAATAATTCAGGCCGAGTCCTGGGAAATCTAAGCAAGGGAAGAGATAAATGTTTAAGAGGAGATAAACATTTCTTTGTCCCTGAAGGTATGTAATTATTTAAAATATGCCAGATCACATAACTGTATAATAGATCTCCTGTTGTGCACCCGCTGGTCCTTCTCCCACTGAGAACAATCTTCATGACCGCACAGAATCCTTCCAACCCAGTGATAACAGCAGCATTTGGAACTCGACTTTCCTCAGGCTGAGTCAGAACACTCTCATCCC